CTGATGTGGGTGCAGGGCCCAAGCACCTGGACCATCCTCCACTGCCTTCCCAGGCCACAGCAGAAAGCTGGACTGGAAGAGGAGAAACCGGGACAGAACCAGCGCCCCAACTGGGACAAGAACCCGGGGTGCCGGCGCCACAGGCAGAGGATTAGCCATGGCACCGGCCTCTATTTTTATTTCTAATGAATATATGCAGATATTGAAAAGCAAAAGCAACCAATTTCATTGAAAAAACTTGACATCACAAAACATTATGCCTCACATTGATAGAATAACTGTGACCACCTATGAAGCAGTCTCCTTCTTCCAAGAACCAAACATTTATCTAATCAAGCTTCTATATCCAATTTGCAACTAATGCAAGATATTAAGTACAGAGGATCATGTTAAGATAGAATAAAAGAAAACAATTCAGAAAAAAAAAACCTGCAGCTAATGCTCAACATCACTAATCATCAAAGAAGGAAATCAAAACCACAAAGAGCTATCACGGCATACCTGTTAGAGTGGCTGCTGTTGCTCTTCATTCCTCCCCACTGCCAAATTCAGCCATGCCCACCGGCTGGGATGGCAGTAACCTACTGGCCAGAAGCTGAGAGCCAGAGAGGGCACCAGCTTGGAGACAGAGGTGAGATCAGACTACAGAAACCCACGGTGATACAGCTGGAGAGAGAGGATGGCATGAGTCCGGCCTGGAGCCCTAGAGGCTAGAGGGTAGCTGTGGACGCAGTGGAAGTAAAAGGGGCACTTTTCTCACACCCATTCTCCCCACAATGGTGCACGGTTGAGAGAGGGGTGGTTGCCATTTGGGTGGAAGCCCTCGCACATGCACACAGCAACTGGCTGAGACAGGACGCCATCTTCTCAGTAATGCTAGTTGCAGCAGCTGGGAAAGGACAACATTTGGCCAGTGGCTCTTGTACATGTGTGTGATCCAGAGGTTCTGGAAAAATCCACGGTCCCCACTGACTTGGAGCCTGGCTGGGAGGACTGACAGGGGGCTGGGCACCAACATAAGATCGTGAGGTTGCCCCAGCCTCCCAACATACCATACGCTCCAGGGCTCATGCCACGTAGGCGGAGCACCCAGACAGGGCTTGGGGAACGTCTACCTCTCTGTGGATGGGACAGGCTGGTGGGACGGAGCAGACCCTCTGCACCTAGCAACTATGGACATCTTGTGTGCTGAGACTGGAAACTCTGATTACACAAGAGGGTGCAGGGTGAAGCTGGGTCTCTGGGAAAATCACTGTGTGGGACTCTACACGCTCAGAGCTCCCTGGATGCCTAGGGTAGGTCAGTGCAGTGGGATGTGTGCTCAGAGTAAGGACTGGGCAGATCATTTGTATGGTTCATATGGTGGCGTGGATGAGGGTTGTACCCACTGGAGGCTAACACCCAGGCACTGATCACATGGCGGAGAAGTGAGGATGTGATCAAACCAGCAGAGCTGACCATTCCCCCCATTCTGTTGACAAGAGATCTGCCACACCCAACTTGGGTGTTACCCTAATACTTGCCTCCTCACCCTAGAGCACTGACCAGAGCTCCCTAGTAACATCCAGCAAATACCTCTTGGTATTCACTGAAAGTCAGATATTCTAAGCCACAGAGGCATAGCTCAAAGATAAAAGTCATCAGAGAAAAAAAAACAAACAAACAAACAAGTGTCTCCACAAACACATAAAAATAAATGCAGAAATTCAAGAAAAATTCAAGAAAAAATAAGGTAGGCAACATACCCCCCAAAAGGAACACAACAACATTTCAGTATTAGAATGTTAAGATGAGAAGATTGGGGGCCAGCGCCGTGGCTCACTTGGTTAATCCTCTGCCTGTGATGCCAGCATTCCATATGGCTGCTGGGTTCTAGGCCCGGTTGCTCCTCTTCCAGTCCATCTCTCTGCTGTGGCCCGGGAAGGCAGTGGAGGATGGCCCAAGTGCTTGGGCCCCTGCACCTGCATGGGAGACCAGGAGGAAGTACCTGACTCCTGGCTTTGGATCTGCACAGCACGCCAGCTGTAGTGGCCATTTGTGGGGTAAACCAATGGAAGGAAGACCTTTCTCTCTCTGTCTCTCTCTCACTCACTGTCTAACTCTGCCTAATAAAAAAAAAGATGAGGAGATGGATAAAATGCTGGAAATGGAATTCAAAAGATTACTCACAGGATTACTCAAAAGCAATCAGAAGCACATCCACAAATTAAAGAAATCCACACATAACATGAATGAAAATTTCTCACAAAAATGAAATTTTAAAGATAAATCAAAATGAAATATTAGAAATGAAGAAGTCAATAAATCAAACAAAAATGCAGCAGAAAGCCTTAACAGATTGGTGAGGCAGAAGGAATTTCCAATCTAGAAGATAAATCTCTGGAAATTTTTCAGTCAGACCAAAAAAAAGAACAAATCAGAAAAATTAAAAACAGTGCTCGCTTCAGCAGCACATATACTAAAACTGGAACGATACAGAAAAAAATTAAAAACAGTGTTGGAGATTTATGGGATATTATCAAATGATCCAAAATACAGGTCTTAGGAGTTCCTGAACGTATGGAAATTGAGAATGGATTAGAAGGCCTATTTAGTGAAATAATTACAGAAAACTTCCCCAATTTGGAGAAAGAAAAGGACATCCAAGTACAGGAAGCATGTAGAACTCCTAGTAGACATATCCAGAAAAGATCTAACCAAGACACATTGTAGTCAAAGTTTCAACAGTAAAATACAAGGAAAAGATTCTAAAATGTACATGAGAAAAATGCCAGATTACATTTGGAGGATCTCAGTTAGACTCACAGCTGACTTCTCATCAGAAACTCTTCAAGCTAGGAGAGAATGGCGAGACATAGTCTAAGTCTTGAGAGAGAAAAACTGTCAACCCAGGATATTGTACCCTGCAAAGCTCTCATTTATGAATGAAGGGGAAATAAACACTTTTCATTGGAACCTTGAATTTCCACGATAATAGTGGCAATAAATGAAGAGTTTGCGGAAACTAGCCTATTGTGGGGATTCAATTTCCTATGCTGTTATTGTAGCAATTTAAAACACTGAAAAAGAGAAGCAATGTTTTAAGAGTAGACAAGCTCAGTGTTCAAATGAGAAATCATACAAATGCTTAAACCCCAATTAGGAAAAGAAAGAGATGTCAGACAAGGGTGCAAGAAAGATCTAGCAAAGTCAGAAGTTATGAGTAGGGCCAGTGCTGTGATGCAGTAGGTTAATCCTCCACCCACGGCACCAGCATCCCAAATGGGCACTGGTTTGAGTCTCGGCTGTTCCTCTTCCAATTCAGCTCTCTGCTGTGGCCTGGAAAAGCAGTAGAAGACGGCCCAAGTGCTTGGGACTCTACACCCACATAGGAGCCCTGGAAGAAGCTGTAGGCTTCTGGCTTCGGATTGGCACAGCTCCAGCCGTTGTAGCTATTTGGGGAGTAAACTAGCAGATAGAAGACCTTTCTGTCTCTCCCTCTCACTGCCTGTAATTCTACCTCTCAAATAAATAAAACCTTTCTTTAAAAAAAAAAAAAGAAGTAGTCATGAGCCATGTCATGGGAGCTAAGCATGTGGGCGAAGTCACTGTCCCCAAGAATCTATGTCAAAACTCACAGGTATATACAGGATAGACTAAAGGCAGAAATGAGACCACTGGATTTTTTACCAATAGTTTGACAAATGTAAAAGATATTGGGTAAAAGAAGATGCTGGGGAGAAGATGACGTGGAAGTAATCAGGAAAATACAGAGATGGTACCTGAGATGAGGGAATGCAGGGATGGAGACAACACCTTGAACTTGGGGTGGAAGTCAGAGAAGAACAGAGATGGAGGTCAGGGCACTCGGGAAGGGAAGGGAACAAGGAAGACCAGATCTGGGCAGCACCGTGATGCTGGAAGTACCACGTGGGAGTTCTCTCGGATGCTCAAGATCTTCTCATAAACTGACAGCCATGTATAGTCTGTAAATCCCCAGCACAGGCACTCCCTCACGGCAATATGCTTGAGAAAAGTTGCCTTTCAAATGAGGTGAAGGACTGAAGTCAGCACATAATGGTCAAAGTTGAGTAACATCAAAATTACCATTGTTCCCCCATCCTTTTTATTTTTTTATTTAAGATAAACAGGTTTTGTATATTTCATATATACAGATTTAGGAAGGTAATGATACTTCCCGTCCCACCCTCCCTCTTGCCCATATTCCCACCCTTCTGCCTCCTTTCTCTCTTATTCCCTCTCTTAATTTTTACAATGATCCATTTTCAATTTGCTTTATACTCATAAGATCAGCCCTACACTAAGTATAGAAGTCAAAAAATAGGAATAATAATGGCAAAGGAAGACCTTTCTCTCTCTCTCTCTCTCTGTCCACTCTTCCTGTCAAAAAAAAAATAATAATAATAAAAGATACTGTTGCTCAACAATTGAGACAAGGGCTATAAACAATAGAATCTCAAAAAGTCAATTTCAACCCTATACATTACATTTTTGGTACTCTATTAGTTACCACAGAGCAGAGAAAACATATGGTATTTGTCTTTTGGGGGCTGGCTCATTTCACAAAGTACAATGGTTTCCAGTTGTATCCATTTTGTTGCAAAAGACAGGATTTCTTTCTTTTTATGTCTAAGTAGCATTCCATAATAAATATATATGTATATATGTACATCATAATTTATCTAGTCATCAGTTGATGGACATCTGGGCTGTGGAATACAATATGGAGATATTTCAGAAAGCTGAAAATAGATATACCATATGACCCAGCAATTCCACTCATGAAAATTGACCCAAATGAAATGAAATCAGCATATGAGAGAGTTACCTGTACCCCATATTTATTGCAGCTCAGTTCACAATAATTAAGATATGGAATCAACCCAAAGTTATCATTTTAATCTATTAACAGAAACCAACATAGAGGCCAATGTTCTAGTTATCAAAAAGCTAAGCAAAACCAACATTTTTCTTGTTGAAATAGTTCATTGTCCCTTCTTTTATGTAACAAAGTAGTCATCTTAATTTTTATCTATATCTTATTTTAAAATGCATATTAGAATTAATTTTAAAATATATAACTAGAACTCACATGCATCAGAGTAAGACACCCACACTCTGAGAGGCCCGCAGAAATTGGGGTTGACATACAGAAGAGCAGGACGACTACCATTCCACATTCCTCCCTGGACTTACTGAACAAAACAGGCAGTGAAGTCGCCAGCACTATTTGTCTAAACTGCTGCCTTTCACTTACTTTCTGACGTACATCACTCTCCCACAAGGCACACCAGACTATGATGAAGTCCACTTCACAAACCACACACCCTGTTCTCCTAGCCCTTCAGAGCCCTGGAACTACAGCTACTGGGGCCTAGTTGCTCATTTAAATTCATCTGGATAACTGAAGACAAATGGCCTGATGGAGGGGTCCCAGAGCCACTCTGCAGGGACGTCTGTGAATGTGAAACCTTCACAGTTAAAGCCACCTAGGCCACAGTAATCAGGCTCAAAATCCCCCTGTGATGTTTCTCATCTACCCCACCTGGTCCTTGACAGGCTACTCAAGCGTCCCTCCTCCCTTGTCCGAGCAGCCTGTGGAGTGCACCCTTGACATCCTTATTGCGGAGGCTATACACAAAGGGATTGGCCAAAGGGGTGATGGCAGTGTACATGACGGCAGCCACCATGTCCTGATCCCGAGAGTTCTGGGAGGGAGGCTGGAAGTAGACCCAAATGATGGTTCCATAGAGGAAGCCAACCATGGTGAGGTGGGACCCACAGGTGGAGATGGCTCGGCGGCGACCAGTGGCTGAAGGCAAACGCATGATGGTAGCCCCAATTCGGACATAGGAGAGTACAATGAGGGTGCAGGGAACCAGCATAAGAAAGCCACCCTCCTAATTGATGCACAGTTATCCTTAAGTGTTGAAAATTAACTGAAATGTGATCCCTGTTGAACATGGTGGTGGGAATGGGAGAGGGAAGAGATGTATAATTTGGGACATGCTCAGGCTGACTTGCCCCAAGTGGTGGAGTTGGAAGCATACCAGGGGATTCCAATTCAATCCCATCGAGGTGGCATGTACCAATGCCATCTCACTGTTCCAGGTGATCAGTTTCAGTTCACAGTTGGTCATGGTGAAGGGACTGGGAGTCAAAGGGAACACATAGACAAGTCTAGTACCTGCTAACGCTAACCGATGGAGTAAATAAAGGGGAGAGTGATCCAACATGGGAAGTGAGATACTCAGCAGACTCATAGAATGGCAGATGTCCTAAATAGCACTCTGGCCTCAGAATCAGCCCTAAAGGCATTCGGAGCTGGCTGAAAAGCTCATGAGAGTATTTCAGGCATGGAAAGCCAAGACACTCTGGCAAAAGATCTCTGTGAGTGAGATCCCAGTGGAAAGAACAGGTCTTCAAAGAAGGAGGTACCTTTCTCTGAAGGGAGGAGAGAACCTCCACTTTGACTATGACCTTGTCTAAACAAGATAAGAGTCGGAGAACTCAGAGGGCTTCCATAGCCTTGGAAACTCATGACTGGAGCATAGGGAGATTACTGATGCCATAGACAGGAGTGTCAATTGGTAAAGTCAACAACAGGAGTCACTGTGCACTTACTCCTCATGTAGGATCTCTATCCTTAATGTGCTGTACATTGAGATTTAATGCTATAACGAGTACTCAAACAATATATTTCACTTTGTGTTTCTATGGGGGTGCAAACTGTTGAAATCCTTACTTAATGCATACTAAACTGATCCTCTGTAAAAAAAAAAAAAAAGAAAAAAAAAAGAAATTATCAATTCCCAACTTGACTCTCATTGGGATTAAACATGACAATAGGTCTGTTCTTATTTCATCATCATTTAAAAAAATCATCTATTATTTTTCACTTTATGTTTCTGTGTGGGAGCAAACTGTTGAAATCCATACTTAATGTATACTAAGCTGATCTTCTGTATATTAAGATAATCGAAAATGAATCATGATGTGAATGGAAGGGGAGAGGGAGTGGGAAAGGGGAGGGTTGTGGGTGGGAGGGACGGTATGGGGGGAAGCCATTGTAATCCATAAGTCGTACTTTGGAAAATTATATGCATTAAATAAAAGTTAAAAAAAAAAAAAAAAAAAAAAAAAAAAAAAGAAAGCCACCCTCCAAGAATATGGCCAGCTCGTTGGAGTGAGTGTCAGAGCAAGAGGCTCGCAGAAGTGGCCTGTGGTCACAAAAGAAGTGGGGAAGGCTAACATTGCCCCCAGAGTCCACAGCCCAACAAAGGGGCAGGAGGAGTCCCACGTGTAGCATGGTGTGCACTACGGACACCACCCAGCTCAAGGCCAGCAAATGGGCACAGAGCTGGCGGTTCATCACCACAGCATAGTGCAGAGGGTCACAGATGGCCACGTAGTGATCCAGGGCCATGACAGCAATGACGAGCGTATCTGTAACTCCAAATACATAGAAGAAGAATAACTGAGTCAAGCAACGGGGAGCAGGAATGGCTGGGTAATCAGAGACCAGATGGGCCAGCAACTGGGGCAGGGTGACGGTAGATAGCCCCAAGTCGATCACCGAGAGCCCACGGAGAAGATAATACATGGGCGACTGAAGCTTGGAGTCCCGGGAGATGAGCAGCATGAGTGTCACATTCCCCAGTATGGTGATCAGGTAAATAGCCAGGAACAGGACGAAGAGGAGGTTAGGGGGGATGCTAGCCCTGGAGAAGCCACGGAGCAAGAAGACCGGAGAGTGTGAAGCATTAGGAGCACAGCTCATAATGAGTGACAAGGGGCCTTCCTGGAAGACAGTTTAGGTCAAAAAGCAAGTCATGAGTCACAGGTTAGGGGCCGTAACTTTCTTCTGAATTTAGTTATGTTATTCAAGATCCTTAAAATTTTGTATTTTTAAATATGTATTTATTTTATTTAAAAGGCAGAGTTACAGAGATGGGAGAGACAGAGATCTTTCACTTGATGGTTCACTCCCCAAGTGGTCACAATGGCCAGAGCTGGGTCGGTCTGAAGCCAGGAGCTTCCCCTGGGCCTTCCATGTGGGTGCAGGGGCCCAACCACTTGAGCTATCCTCCACTGCCTTCCCAAGCACATTGTCAGTGAGCTGGATAGGAAATACAACAGCCAGGACTCAAATTGGTCAACATCGCAGGCAGTGGCTTTACCTGCTACACCACAACATCAGCCCTACATCCTGAAAATTCTTGGTTCAACTCTGACCATCCATTCTCCTCCTCTAGTTCTGTGTTTTCACTCCATATTAAGGTTATAGTATTTTTTCAACCTCATATCTTCTTTTTCACCTACTCTGATAGTTCATTCCTTCTAATCCATGCACCTTGCTGAAGTCCCTCCCACAATTAAAAAAAAGCATCATTCATTTTTTGTCCTCATCCAACTACTGCTTACTCTATCCAGTGGCAAGATTCATGAAATAATTACCCTTACCACCTCTCTCCAGCTCCTCACCTTCCACGGACAGCTCATTCCATTGCTTTCCTTAGGATTTCTTCTCTCTGAACCTGTATGGGACATAACATACCATTAAAATACAAAACATACCACTAAGGGCCGGCGCCGCGGCTCACTAGGCTAATCCTCTGCCTAGCGGCGCCGGCACACCGGGTTCTAGTCCCGGTCGGGGCACCGGATTCTATCCCAGTTGCCCCTCTTCCAGGCCAGCTCTCTGCTGTGGCCAGGGAGTGCAGTGGAGGATGGCCCAGGTGCTTGGACCCTGCACCCCATGGGAGACCAGGAAAAGCACCTAGCTCCTGGCTCCTGCCACCAGATCAGCGCGGTGCGCTGGCCGCAGCGCACCGGCCACGGCGGCCATTGGAGGGTGAACTAACGGCAAAGGAAGACCTGTCTCTCTGTCTCTCTCTCTCACTGTCCACTCTGCCTGTCAAAAAAAAAAATATATACCACTAAGACACACAACATAAAGAAATGATTCTAAGTAATTGACTTTTGTAGTAAAATTGCTTCAGATTCTCATGAAATTGCTTATTTTCATTTTTATTACTTGTGTTGGTTAATGTTCACAGCACCACCATTATTATCTGCCCAATACAAAAACCCAAAACTGAAGGAATCCCATCCTCATTTCCCCATATCCAGCTCCTTGACTTCCACATTTGCCTTTCGGTCCATTCCTTGATCTTGGCCCACTATCACTATTAAGCCTTGGAGTCTCTGACAAATACTAATTGCCAGCACCTCATTACTGATTTTTCTGCTTTCTTCCCAAGATAGGTCTTCCACACAGATGCCAAGTAACACTTGCAACACATGATCACATGTTTATTTTTATTTTTTATTTTTTGACAGGCAGAGTGGACAGTGAGAGAGAGAGACAGAGAGAAAGGTCTTCCTTTTGCCGTTGGTTCACCCTCCAATGGCCGCCGCGGCCGGTGCGCTGCGGCTGGCACACTGCGCTGATCCGATGGCAGGAGCCAGGTGCAAACACTTTAATGTGTCTTATTTAGAAATTTCCTTTTCAGTGCCAAAGTCTCTTACCAGAGTTATTTTGAGTCAGTTATCCAGTGTTATAAACCAAATATTTTTCCTGAATTCCTGACATGGCAAGTCTCACATCCCTGTATGTCTTTATGTATTATGTGGAAAACTTCAGCTTCTCGAAAAGGAGGTATTAAATAAATAATCTGGGGCCAGTGCTGTGGCTCAGCAGGTTAACACCCTGGCCTGAAGCGCCGGCATCCCATATGGGCACCGGTTCTAGTCTTGGCTGCTCCACTTCTGATCCAGCTCTCTGCTATGGCCTGGGAAAGCAGTAGAAGATGGCCCCTTGCACACACGTGGGAGACCCAGAAGAAGCTCCTGGCTCCTGGCTTCGGATCAGTGCAGTTCCAGCCGTTGCAGCCATCTGGGGAGTGAACTAGCAGATGGAAGACTCACACACACTCTCTCCTCTCTCTGTGTAACTCTGACTTTCAAATAAATAAATCTTAATAAATAAATAAATAATCAATCCAAATACTCCTGTACATCAACACATAGACATTTAGAGAAAATATACTAAGTTTCTCTTTAAGTTTATAACTGAGCTTTCCAGGCTGTAGGGAAAAATACAGGGATCTATAATCAAAGGCAGGTATGAAAACCAAAAACTAAACTGCTCATGATGGTGCAGATGGAGGTGTTGGTGATGAAAGGCAGGTGGAAGAGGGTGTAATACCAATCCTCCGAGTTCAAAGGCTTGAATACTAACATCCATGTGAAGTATGAGAGTTCAGACCTGTTCAGCAAGTGGAGACCACCACATAAATTCAGCGCATCACACACACAGTCTTCTAAAAGCTCATGTAAAATGAATATTATGAAAAAATGCTGGATTTTAATTTTTTTAGTATCAAAATAAACTTACCTTTCATTTCCCAACAAATGTTTTGAAGTATCCATGAGGGGTGTGTGTGTACAACCCATTAGCTATGGGAAAACAAATGGAATCTCTGGCACTACTAGGCAGAGGGGAAAACGTCTCCCATGGGAATGTATTCATGGGTGTGCACTCTACAAAGAGTGTATCATGTTAATTTATAAGACACATACAATCCTGGAATCTACAAGCTGAAAAATTAACATAAAAGTCATCCTCAGACAGGTAGTATAAGTATTATAGAAGAAAACTTAATACTTCCTAGGAACTTGCAGATTCCAAATTACAGGAATCCCATAAACAAAAACTAACCAAAGATGAGCTCACAATTCAAAATTATAAAACACATAAAATCTATTCTCTATGAAGACAATCAGTGGTCAACAAATAATAGGAATGACTCTCATCAAATACCATAAAATCAACCAAACTGTTGTAGATTATAAATAATGTTTAAAGTACTTACGTTCAGAAAGAGGGAATAAACATACGGGGAAATAAGTAAAGATAAAATAAAGCATATTTTTGAAAGACCCAAAAAGGGCAGATATTTGGCCTGGTGGACAGAATGCCTTTTGGGATCCCATATTGGAGTGTGTGGGTTCAAGTTCCAATTCTGCTCCTGACTGAAGTTTTCTGTTCATTGGCACACTGTTAGAGTGATCAAGTATTTGGTCAAGTAACTGGGTCTTTGCCACTCTGTGGGAGACCTAGCTTGGGTTCCCAGCTCCTGGCTGAAGCCTGCCCTAGCCTTGACTCTAGTGAGCATTTGGGGGAGTGGACCAGCAGCTGGGGAGTTTCTCTTTTTCTCTCTCTTTCTCCTCATCCTTCCTTTCCTCTCTCTCTCTCTCTACCTTCCTCCTTTCTTCACAAATAAATTTTTTAATTGCTCTAAAATATTCATGTTTAAATTCAAAACTCAATGGATGGGTTAGACAGTGACTGAAAAGAGATACTAGTCCTCAGAAGAGTACCCAGCAGACAGTACAAAGTGACAAGCCTATGGATAATACGAAACAAGAGTTCAGAATTTCAGAGGAGAAAATGAGAGGACCCACTACGTATCAAATAAGTCCATGGAAAGAAAACCTAGATGGCCACATGCTAAAAAATGAAACTGGATCCTTATCTTACCCCATTCCTCAAAATCAACTCAAAATGGATAAAAGACATAAACAAAAGATCTAAAATCATACAACTTCTGGAAGAAAGTATAGGAGAAAAACTCCATGACATTGGCCATGGCAAAGTATTTTTTGCTATCACTCTAAAAGCTCAGGCAATGAAAGCAAAAATAAAGAAGTGGGACTCCATCAAACTAGAAAGATTCTGCACAGCAAAGGAAACAAGGAACACAATGAAAAAGCAGACTATGGAATGGGGAAAAATATTTGAAACCACACATCTAATAAGGGTTTAATATCTAAAATATATAAGGAGTTCACACTCAATAGCAATGTGTCTGCATGTAGAGATACAAACATACATACAATAAGACAGATGATTGATAGATGATGATAATGATAGATAGAAGATAGAAAGATAACTATAGATTACTAGATATAGGAAGGGAGGAGAGAAGGAGGGAAGGAGGGAAGAAGGGAAGGAGAGAAAGAAGGAAGGAAGGAGGGAGGGAGGGAGGGAAAAAGAGAAGGAGGGAAGGAGAAAGGAAAGAAGGAAGGAAGGAAAGAAGGAAAGAGGGAGGGAGGGAGGGAATGCTGGCAGGCAGGTGAAGGACAAAGGACCTGAATATATAGAAACGACCAACAAATATATAGAAAGGTGGTAAACAGCACTAATCATGAGGGATACACAAGTCAAAATTATGAGATATCATCTCATGCCTGTTAGAATGGTTACTACATAAAAACCAAGAGATAACAAGTGCTGGCAAAGCATGAACCTTAGCACATTGCTGGTAGAAATACAAATTGGTGTAGCCACCTAGAAAACAATATGAAGGGTCCTCAAAATATTAAAAATATTATTACCTTAAGACCCATCAGCCACTCTTTTGGGTATATACCAAAAGGAAATGAAATTAGCACCTCAGTGAAATAGCTATACTCTCAATTTCATTGCCACATTAGCTGTAATAGCCAAAAAAAAAACAAATAACTTGAGTGTCTTTAAATGGGTGAATGGATAAAGCAATTGTGGACTATTCAACCCTAAAAACGAAGGTCTTCCCTTTGGTGACAACATTTATGAATCTTGAAGACATTATGCTAAGTGAAATAACCCCAATAGAAACAAAAATACTACATATCACTTATATGTGGATTTTTTTTAACTTTAATACATGGAAATAGAGTAGAAGGGTGGTTACCAAGGGTGGGGAGGGGAGGAATAATGGGTAGATGTAGGTCAAAGGGTACAAAGTTGCAGTGGTCTAGTGTACAGCATGACGACTATAGTAACATTGCATTGTGTATTATATACTGGAATCATTAACATAGTAGGTTTAGGCGCTCTTATTATGAAAAATGGCAGCAGTGTGAGATGATGATGGGCATGTTGCTTTGCTCAGCTGTGATAATCATTTCATTATGTATGTTTACATCAAAATACCATGCAGTGATGCCTTAAATATGTACAAGTGGTCTTCAAATTTTCATGGGAAGCATATATTGTGCAAAAAACTATGCATAGATTTCAAAAACTTTTGCACCAACATTAAAATGCCTTTTAATTCTATTTTCTATTATCTTTTTAAAGTACCTTCATACAAAGAAAAGTTCAAGCAGAAAAATATTGATAAAGTAGGGGAAAGGAAATATTGAAGATACACAGATGGAGACATAATGAAAAAAAATAAATCCTGACTAAAAAAAATCACAATAATTCTCAAAGAAGACAATTTTTTGACAGGCAGAGTGGACAGTGAGAGAGAGAGACAGAGAAAGGTCTTCCTTTTGCTGTTGGTTCACCCTCCAATGGCCTCTGCGGCCGGCGCATCACGCCAATCCAAAGCCAGGAGCCAGGTGCTTCTCCTGGTCTCCCTTGGGGTGCAGGGCCCAAGCACTTGGGCCATCCTCCACTGAACTCCCGGGCCACAGCTGAGAGCTGGACAGGAAGAGGAGCGACCAGGACAGAATCCGGCGCCCCAACCAGGACTA